TTGTATGTAATGTTTATACCGTGTATACATGAATTACATAGGTATATAATTTTTTGTTTTGTTTTGTTTTAATATTTTTTAATGCCTTTTATATGTTCATGCCTTCTTTATGCATGCATGTTTCATGCTTTATTTGATGTAAATAGTAAAAGTTCTTTTGTATTATTTAGCTGTGAATGTAAAATCATATTCTATATAATAATATTAACATGCAGATTATTTTATGTATTGATTTTGTTAATGTTTGTTATTATAATTTTTGGTATTGTTTGTGAAAAGCAATGGAGAAAATAAAATATTATTGAAAAAAAATATATATATATAAGGACTGGCCAGATTCTGGACACAACATTAACGAGCAATAAATACCAACAACCCCCGAGCTTCCGGGGGCTCTGCTCCCCGGACTCTCCGCCGATTAGTGGCCTGTCAGTATCACAAATAAGGTATCTAAACTATCTAAATATGCCTAAAACACCTGAGCTTCTTGGGGCTCAGCCCCTCGACCCCCTGCCGGGCTCAGGCCCTGGACCCCACGCCAATGTACGCTCTACCTGATCGTTAATAATCCACTTTGAAAAACGTTCCGCGGGGCCTACATGTAACGTGTAAGAGTGGTGGTCAGTGGCGTACGCAGGATTTTTTCAAGGGGGGGGGGGGGTTAAAATCGGGTCCAAAATTTTGCAACGACTCAGGAAAATTTGAAAATCGCGCCGGCCAAAAAGTCGCTCAGTGGGGCGGGGGGGGGGGGGAGCCCAAAAAAAAATCGCAACGACTCAGCCAGCCGAAAAGTCGCTCAGTGGGGGGGGTTAGCGGACACTTTTTTTTTTTTTGGTCCCAAAAAAATCGCAACGACTCAACCGACCGCTGAATAAGCGGGGGGGGGGGGGGGGGGGGGGGGGGGGGGGGGGGGGGGGGGGGGGGGGACACTTTTTTTTTTTGTCTCAAATTTGAAAAATTGACATTTTGCTCCGTTGGGGGGGGGTAGTTACCTTTCTTAGGTCAGCCATGGGGGTGATTTTTTTTTTTTTTTTTTTTTTTTAATAATTTAAAAAAACAAACAAAACAAACAAAGGGGGGGGGTTTAGGGATTTTTAGGGGGGTTTACACACATAAAAATACCAAAGGGGGGGTTTAACCCCCCAAACACCCCCCCCCCCCCCCCCCTGCGTACGCGCCTGGCACTGTATAATACTCTTTTTATTTCTATCCACATCAGTTCAATTTCGTCACTTTCCAAATCTTCTTTTCTTAAGTAAGATATATTTTCCTTTAAGTAGCAACCCACTCCTCCTCCAAATGACCCTCTATGTTTACCCACAAATTGAATTGAATTGATAATGGTTTCATTGAGAATAAAAGAATAACAATGCATCGCGGCCTAAAAGGCCGAATTTGTCAATGTTTTACAAATGTAAAATACAATATATAAAAACATTCATATCAATAACATTAAAATTAATGAACTGAACTTGAATGAGCAAATTGTTAAGAATAATATTTAACTTTAAAATTCTTATTTCTTATTATTTGATCTCCCTAACTCATTTTATATAACAAGGAGATAAAGAGAATTGAAGAAGAACATGATGATGGTGTAGTGTAAAGAAAGAAAAGAGGACGGTAAGATTGAAAAGAGGATGAAGCGGAAGAAGAAGAAGAAGAGAAAAAGTAGAAGAGAAGGAGGAAGAGGAAGAAGAAGAAGATTCAAGCGGGGATAGTAAGATGATAGAAAGAGGGTAGTGCGAATAGTAACACTATCATAATGTATCGATATCAAAATTCAAGCATTACACATTATACAAACTACTAATGATATAGGCGAAGTTATGAAAATAAAATACTTATATGACAAATTGTACGAATTAAACATTTACTCTAGGTACTAGCTACTCTAAGGAAAAGGTTATAACATTTCATCCAGACTATAAAAAAGGAGAACAATTAGAAGAAGCAAAAGCAGAAGAGGAAAAAGAGGATTGAGAAGTTAGGATAAGGGTGAGATGAAGAAAGGAGGTGGGAAAGTAGAAGTGGTAGAGGAAGAGGAGACAACTGTAACATTGGCCATAGAAGATAATTTCAGTAATTTAAACAATTACAAATAAATGGTTAAAACAGATTTTTAACTTCGGTACAGAAGATGTAGTGATTCTATTATAAAGATACAAAGATTAGACCCCAGTATAAATATATTTTATGTAAATATAAAATAATCTGCATAAAAACTTGATATCATACATTGTGTGTATCAGTAATATTGAAACCATAGTTTGCCTTCAAGTATTGCACATATGTCATATGGTATTACATCACAACTATAATATTGGTACATGTATAGTATTAAAAAACATATTTTTTGTTGTTAACTAGAATTGTAGATGCGTATAAGTGATGGTATGGGGCTGTTTTTCACTTTTATATTTATATCCAGGCATATAACTGATTCTATTCATACATAATCTTTTAACCATGTTTCGGACAAAGTATAACCAAATCGTATTGATTACTTGTCAAAAAATACTGAACATCGATCACCTTATTTTCTTAAGCGTCTGATATTAACATGGGCAATTTTCATCCCTCGTCCATATGAAAATTCACCATTCCTTGTTTCTCCTTTACCTATATTTTGATCATCTTTATCACAATACTTGTTTTCTGTAGATGTAGATGGCTCATCAGTTTCAATATTATCCCAAAATGGTAGTACCTGTATCAAACATTTTCGGCATTGCCAATCTACAAAATCCTTGAGTGGATCGTTATATTTACATAATGACATTCGGTCACACTTAATGTGAATAGAACCCATTCCCCACACTTTGTACATGCAAGAGCTTTTTGATTCGTTTTACTGGCTTATACAACAAACACATGAAAATCAACATTAATTTAAGTAAAGACAAATATAATACCATTAAGATCTAAAAGCGTTTACAAAAAATTCCCTGTAAAATATGCTAAAAAGCTAATGTTGGAAAATATTTATAGTCTGTGTGTAAAATTACAGCTAATAAAATCGAATTGAATACGATTCATGAAAAGGAAGTTTCTGTTTCAAATTCAAATCAATACGAGAAGAGCAGGGTAGAATCTGAAAATTACGGCATAAAAGTTCCGCTCGTGTGAGTCAAAAAAAAAGTTTAGATCAAAAAAAAGTTTACACCTAGAAAATTGCTAATTATTTTTAAAATCATCTATGAAAAGTAAATTATTATACATCTTATGAAAGAGTGTTTAATCCCAGATCATTTGGTAACATTTTTGTGTGGTATGTGTTCACGCTTGGATGAACAGGAGGCATTGTTTGCGAGAGTGCAAAAAATCGACTTGCGCCAAAGTGATGCATACAGAATGTATTATGTTGGGATTAGCAGAGTGAGAGAATGAATTGAATGTATCAAATGTAATGCATTGCATAATGCTTTTTGCAGAAGCAAAGTCACATACACACACATGCGCCCGCACAAATATTCGTTGATATTTGATATTCGATATTTGATACGTGTGGCATGATTGATTGTGTAAGGGATGTTATTTAGATCTGCAAAGACCGAATTAATACGCAAATGCCAATCGTTTTATTCAAACATCACATAAGCAACTTTGGCGCAAGTCGATTTTTGCACTCTCACAAACAACGCCTCCTGTTCATCTAAGCGTGAACACATATACGGCACAAAATGATACTAAATGATTCGGGATAAAATACTCTTTCATAAGATGTATAATAATTTACTGTTCATAGATGATTTTTTAAATAATTAGCAATTTTCTAAGTGTAAACTTTTTTTTGACTCACACTGTATACATTCACTGAACTGTTCACGAGGAACGGAGGTCATTCTCACTCTGGATTATTCTATTCATCGTTTTTTTCCATTATTGGCTGTTATTCTTGCTATAACCCGGCCATCGCTGGACCATGCTGTGTGGACATTCCTAGTCTTCGTTGCGCTGTTGAGTAGATGCAGATTATATTTTGTCAGTTGTTCCTGGATTACGACCCGAGTCCCTTTCAAACGACGACGACATATTTCACAACGATCGGACGTGGTCACTTTTGTCCCGGTTTCTCATTTTTCATTTTTCTGTTGGGGCTACCCAATCGATGTGAGCGGTCAACAGTATTTACTCAGTGATTGTGCCAGGATTGCCCGACATAACAACAAGTTAGGTATGCAGACTGGATTCCAAGTATTCATTCATTAATAACAGGTTAAAGGGGAATTAACTTCTCGAATATGAAGTATGATAATGACATAAAGATTGAACAACGTTTCATTTTGATATAAGTGTGGACCCCTTTGAAAACCAACTTAAGTTGAAAGGGTAATCCACCCCACATCTGGAAATTGATCAATGTGTTTTTTGGTTTTTTTTAAGCATTGCTGTAGGCCAAATAATATCATATTTTGCTCTGGCTCATAACATTACGAGGCAGAGCAAAACAACACTGAGTTCCTGGAAATCTGTTTATAAACTTCCGGGTTGTGACGTATCCCAAGGAAAAGTGATATAGCGCGCAGCGCGCAGCGTTATATGCATTACACGTCAAACATGGTGTACTGCCAAGGTAGTATTGATTGTTCCTCGAAAACCAAGGGGAAATCGTTTCATTGGTTTCCAGACCAACCCAATCGCAATGAGTCAAGCTATATAGGTAGCAGCTATGTGTGGAGAAATTTCTGGACAAAAAGTACAAGTATACGACAGCAAAAACGATGTGATCTGCAGTGATCCCTATTTTACAGTTAACATCAGGGGAACGTAGACAATAGCGGTGGAATCCATGCGATAAGTGACAGAATTAAAGAGCCGTGCACAAACACAATTAATTGCGACGTTCTGAAAATACTCAGCGCTGCAAAAGATTCTGAAGTAGAGTTACGTCCTCCCTTTCGTCAAATGTATGATATGTACATATGTTTTAAATGGCCTACAATCTTTGATTAACATGTAGTTTGAAGTTAATTCCCTTTAATAACTGCAATCGTAGCTGTGAACGCGCCAATAAAGGAAACGTTGCAAACGACTTGTTGAGTTCTTATTTTTCTTTTATTCGGTTCTTTTGTAACAAGTCATCTTCATTTAGCGATTCAGCAATCCAATTAGAGAATCATCATCAGCAATCCAAATAGCGAATCATCATCATTAGCAAATCAGCAATCCAATTAGCGGTTCACTGTAAACAACAACAAAGTAACAAAGCATTATAAACATATGCATCATATAAACAGAATTAAATGCATGTAACCCTGTCTACATTACAGTGAATCTTGTAAATACTCTTGACATATAAACGTAAAACGTGATGTTTATATACGAAATAAACTCCAAAAAGAATGTAACTATCCAGCTATACAGTGTATTCATTTATGTCTCTGCTTGATATATATATCTTCATAAATTCCTGTGCTTAGAATGTGCCTGTAATGCACGGTGTTCTACAGATACGGCTTCATAATGCCCCCTTAATTAAGCAATTACAAAGTAGTCTATGTGATTCCAGACCCTATACAACTGACATCAATAATATTCCCTCAGAAACGGTTCTACACACTCCTTATAATGGTAATTAACCTCTTTTAACTCTTACAAGCTGTGCAAGTCACTATAACATATCATACTAATTAAATCATGCACCATCTTAGAGCTTGTTTATATGAATAAACCCCTTTATGCACGACACATACCTGGGTGCAATGCGTTTCATAGCCCCATAGCAACACATAGGCTTCTGTACATAACGTTGCGTTAATCATCCAAAATCAACTCACTATTTGCACATAATTCACAGGAAATGAACAATCGTATGAAACAATTAGTTTCATATATTTGACAGTAAATCAGTTATCTACAGTAATCATGTATCGTAGCTTACCAACTATTTGTTCATCCGGAGCAAAGTCATGAATTCTATGGTAACAAACATCAAGTCTGATGCCTTTGACTAGGCTTTCTGTTGCACAAATTTTCTTAACGCCACAGATGGCGCTATACAAGTTTCGCGCCGCTACATTCCGGCCCCAAATGAGTTACCTATCCTTAAATCATTTTCTACATTACCATAAAGCGGCATGCATTAAACTATGAATGAATTACAGTAACATTTGGTATGCATTAACGCAATGACGATACCTGTAAAATATCTGTAAGCAAAAACAAACATCCATTTAACTTTCACAAATCTTGTCAAAACTGTTTGCATAAACAATTCAAACTGTGACATACATGCAAGTTAGTAATGTTAGAAATTCTTTGAACAATAACATATAAATGTTTCACATCATATATAACAACCTTCGTTGTGTTTAGGAAGAAGCCTCTACATTGGCTTCCAAGAGGCACAGCTTTGAAATTGGCCTCTTGTAATATCGAGGCCCTACTCGAACCTCTACTTGTCTTACAAGTCCACGCTTGTCTGGATAGGTCGTTAACACTCTTCCGATGGGCCACTGTCCACGAGGGGTACTTTCGTTGACCACTAGAACCAGATCGTCGACTTCAAAGTTTCTGTTTGGTCTAGTCCATTTCTGACGTTGCTGCAACAGGGGTAAGTATTCCTTGACCCATCGGGTCCAAAACTGCCCTGCTAGGTACTGGACTTGGCGCCAGTGTCTCCGTAGATGGCAGTCTTCTTTCACAAAGATCCCTGGTGGCAGACTTGGGTTCTTACGAAGCAACAACAAATGATTCGGGGTCAATGGCTCATCATCTCTGGAGTCCATGCTCAGGTGAGTAAGAGGCCTTCCATTCAATATTGCCTCTACTTCTGTGAAGAGGGTAAGTAGCGCTTCGTCTGTAAGCGTCTGCTGTGGGAGACTGGTCAAGATTTTCCTCACTGACCGTATGATCCTCTCCCATACACCTCCCATGTGGCTTGCTCCTGGCGGGTTGAAGTGCCATGCAATGCCCTTCTGTGTGAGGTATCGGTTCACTCTCTCGGAATTCAGCCCTGCAAGAGCATCCTTTAGCTCCTTCTGACCCCCCTTGAAATTGGTGCCATTGTCACTGAATATAGCCTTGGGTTGACCTCTACGGTTGATGAAGCGACGCAGTGTTTGTATGAATGAGTCAGTCTCCAAGCTATAAGCCATCTCAAGATGCACTGCCCTGGTAGATAAACATGTAAAGATACATCCATACCTCTTCTGTGTACTGCGACCATGCTTCGTCGGGAATGGGCCAAAGTAATCAAGCCCTGTATTCGTAAAAGGTGGTTCTCCCGGAGTAACTCTCTCTTCCGGCAAATCAGCCATGAATTGCTGACCTCTTGAAGCATTACGCTTCCTGCATTTGAAGCAGTTACCTATGGTGTGACGGACTGTAGCACCTCCCTTGTTGATCCAAAATCTTTCTCTGAGAGAGGTCCATGTCGAACCCATACCACAGTGTCCAACCTTCTGATGATGATGAACCACTAGAAGCTTGGTAACGTGGTGATCGTTGGGAAGAATCATTGGATGTTTCTCGTCATTCAGAATAGGAGCCTTGCTTAATCTCCCTCCTACTCGTAGCAGTCCGTCAACCATGACAGGATTCAGCTTCTCAAGGGGATTTCCTTGTTTTCTGGTTTTCTTCTCTATCCCCTTCACGTACTCATCAGGAAATGAGCGTCTCTGTACGTGTTTGATTACTTCGACCTCTGCATTGTTCAATTCCTGAACTGTCAAGCTTCCTCTTTCTGCCAAGTTGCCCGTTCCTTTGGACCGCAAGTATTGCTTGTACCGTAGTAGCCATGCAATTCCTCGCTTCAGACGATCCCATGATGAGTACCTTGTCATTAGATCATCTATCTCGTCATGTGAGCTGGTAGCGTAGACATGAGTTTTCTTCACCTCACTGTCATTCTGAAGATCAAGTTCTGGTACATCTTCCTTCTTCAAACTTGCTGGATCTTCCGGCCAGACTTCCTTTTCTTGTAACAAGAACTCAGGTCCTGTAAGCCATCTATCCAGGCTTCTTGCAGGGATACCCTGTGAACCATCATCTGCTGAGTTCCTGAGGGTGTCGACATCTTCTACTGATTCACCAACTCTTTCATCTCCTGGACCAGAGTCCATCTCCCAAAACCGCTTCACTTGATTTTGAAGCTCCTCAGCTGAGATGTGGTGAATTTCGTACGAGTTTCTGTGACTTGAGCTTGATGCAGGTCCAATAAACGTCCACCCCAAAGGCGTTCTGATCGCATAGGGATCTTTCTTTTGACCCCTCCTTTCTTCTTCTACCCAGAATGCTTCTGGGGTGTCCCCTCCTATCAGGAGCTGAACCTTTGCTTGGCCTGCTGTCACTAGTTGAATGCCCTGAAGATGAGGCCACTTATCGACATCTTCCTGACATGGTATACTTCTGGACGATATGGGTAGAACATCAACAGTCCACATCCTGTCCACATCGATCTTAGTGTCTTCTTGCAAGCCTTGAATGGTCATGCTAACTTCCATTCCTTTCCTTGGAGTGTTCATTCCATTGATTGTAGTCAACCTGAATTCCTTGTTGACTCCGACAATTCCCAGTTCCTCTGCAAGTCTCTTTTCACAAAGGGACGTATCGCTTCCTTCATCAAGCAGTGCCCAAGTCGTAACCTCCTTGGCTCCATGACGCACCTTCACAGGAAGTACTCTTAAGCGTACGTCAGCTCTTCCTCTAATTGTATGGCATTCCACACCAGTTGTCACTCCAGCCCCGTTCTGCTGACTTGGGCTGTCTTCATTGTTCTTCTGGTTGGGGCTTTCCTTCCTTTCAAAGTGCAACCATGTGTGGTGTTTCCATTTTAGACTGCATCCTTCTTTCTTACAGGTCGAGTCTGAGGGACAGTTCCTTGCTAGGTGTGCCTTCTTAAGGCAATTAAAACAGATGCCACTCTTCTTTAGGAAGATGAATCTCTCCTTCTGAGGCAAGTCCCTTAGCTTGAAACAGGTTTCCAACTGGTGCTCCTTCTTGCAGCATGGACATGCCTCCTTTCTGTTATTAGGCCTGTCAGTTCCTCCTTCCATTGCGAAGGATGAAGCTCTGCCTCCCACGCTCCCTTTCTGTCGCTTTGCACTTGAACTTGACTTGAATGACTGTCCGATATTCTTCCCGAACACGTTGCTTGCTATCTTAGCCTCCTGTTCGATAAAGTCTGTCATGTGGCTAAAGTTGGGAATTACAGACTGCTCCATGGCTACGTGAGCCTTAGATGCCCACCTGGCTTGTAGGTGAACAGGCAGAAGGCTCTGTATCTTAAGCAGTGTGTCCGTTGAGCTCATGTCCGCTGAATAACCCATCTGTGATGTGGACATTTGACATCTCCTCATATCTCTGGCCAGATCCCATAAGGCCTGACTGTCACTTGGGCGCAGGTTGGCTCGGCAGATCACCTTATCGACGTGTGCCTTCGCTACTATGTAGTTCTGTCCGAATTGATCTTGTAGGATGCTACGAGCTCTTGAATATCCAGTATCGGGATGTAACAAAATACAATTCTCTATAGCCTCCCTTGCCTTGCCTGTACAAAATTGTATTAAATAGGTTAGTCGCATCCTGTTATCTTGCACCTTGTGCTCAATGTTAACATCAAAACAATTACAAAAGCTCCAATAATCAATAGGGTTACCGGAAAAACAAGTCATATCAGGTTTGGGCAGGTGCATTGCCATCATCATCTCTGACAAATTATGTTCTACAGAATTTACATTCTTATTACATGTATATGCATTTGGCATTGTATGTTCACCCAACACTCTTTGGGAAGTAACATCCTGATTCTCATTACAAATATCTACCGGTACAACATTCCCTGTACACCATTCAGCAGTTCTTTGCTGAGTTTGACCTTCTGGAATTTGTAACAGTTCTTGTGGCTTTATTTCATGTTCTTGCCACAATTTTGCTTCAGCTTCGGCGTTCTCAAGTTCATTTTCAATCTTGAGTCTATCAAGTTTTTCGTTGAGTTCAAACTGTTCTCGTTTTAGTTTATGTTCTCTCTGTAGCTGTACTACCTTCATCCTAGCAAGCTGCCGCTTCACCTCGGCTTCTCTCATCTTCACGCTTGAGGAGATGCTCGCCCTGGAGGCCATCGATTTCACTTCAGTGTCCCTGGATGCTCTGGTTTCACTCCTTGCCGTTGCATCCCCGTCAACGCCGTTCTTTGGCTCTCCAGCTTCCGACCCCTCATGCTGGTTGCTTGCTTGGACCTTCTCCGACATCTAGAACTAGTTGTGAACTTTTGTGTGAACGCGCCAATAAAGGAAACGTTGCAAACGACTTGTTGAGTTCTTATTTTTCTTTTATTCGGTTCTTTTGTAACAAGTCATCTTCATTTAGCGATTCAGCAATCCAATTAGAGAATCATCATCAGCAATCCAAATAGCGAATCATCATCATTAGCAAATCAGCAATCCAATTAGCGGTTCACTGTAAACAACAACAAAGTAACAAAGCATTATAAACATATGCATCATATAAACAGAATTAAATGCATGTAACCCTGTCTACATTACAGTGAATCTTGTAAATACTCTTGACATATAAACGTAAAACGTGATGTTTATATACGAAATAAACTCCAAAAAGAATGTAACTATCCAGCTATACAGTGTATTCATTTATGTCTCTGCTTGATATATATATCTTCATAAATTCCTGTGCTTAGAATGTGCCTGTAATGCACGGTGTTCTACAGATACGGCTTCATAATGCCCCCTTAATTAAGCAATTACAAAGTAGTCTATGTGATTCCAGACCCTATACAACTGACATCAATAATATTCCCTCAGAAACGGTTCTACACACTCCTTATAATGGTAATTAACCTCTTTTAACTCTTACAAGCTGTGCAAGTCACTATAACATATCATACTAATTAAATCATGCACCATCTTAGAGCTTGTTTATATGAATAAACCCCTTTATGCACGACACATACCTGGGTGCAATGCGTTTCATAGCCCCATAGCAACACATAGGCTTCTGTACATAACGTTGCGTTAATCATCCAAAATCAACTCACTATTTGCACATAATTCACAGGAAATGAACAATCGTATGAAACAATTAGTTTCATATATTTGACAGTAAATCAGTTATCTACAGTAATCATGTATCGTAGCTCACCAACTATTTGTTCATCCGGAGCAAAGTCATGAATTCTATGGTAACAAACATCAAGTCTGATGCCTTTGACTAGGCTTTCTGTTGCACAAATTTTCTTAACGCCACAGATGGCGCTATACAAGTTTCGCGCCGCTACAGTAGCAGTATTGTACTTTTATTTCTTAGTGTGTAGGTGGGCTTTAAAAAAAAAAATTATCTGCAAATTAAATCACTTGCGAAATAAAGATGAATTCCAAATACAATATACGTAGGGATCAACAAGAGGCCGGCTATTGGGGACACTTACTGAAATGCATGATCTCTCTTAAAACTTTCAGTGATTTTTAGTATACATTCTAAGCTGAATCAATTTACAAATCTACTACGTGTTTTCATGCAATAATTTGTTTAAGTACCTATACGGTAACTATGAATAAAAAGAAATCTTTAAATATATATACAAATATATTTCTTGCGTTAGTCACAAAACCATTCTTTACTTCTTTCATTCATAAACTTTTTTTTATTTGGTTTGTCGATTACAGTATTATGTTGTCGCTTTAAATCTATGTCGAAGTTTAAATTTTCTGCTTTCCATTAAAATGAATTGATGAGTCCTAAAATAAGATACAGACTCTGGGAAGGTCAGTAGTATACCAACGTGAAACCACTTCGAGATACTGACTGAAATATGTGGTAACTATGTGAGCCTGGATATATCCAATGCATTTGTGTCTCTTTCATGCAGCTTAATTTATAGAAACTAAAGATGATTATGCAGATTCGTTATGCTTAATGAGGAAATATTGAGAAAAAAACGATAATCTATTTCCTTTTACATTTATAAAGGTCGCCTTTTCAAGTTATCTCAAACTGTATGGATGGGTGATTATGTATGAAGGGGTGACCAAAGTTCGCGGACATTTTAGAACATATTACAAAATGTGATATTCGATCTATGATTTCTCACATTCTACACAACTTTATTTATTTCAATTATTACCAAATGGACGGCAAAGTTTTTTTTACTACAGATTGGTTCAACTAGAAAAATTTACCGTCGAAGAATTTCGGAGACATCGCGATCTAAAAATTCGATGTCCGATCGTGCGTGCGCGCTGCATCTAAAAAAAGTCATAAAAACAATGAGACCTAACTTCACGCACGGTGGTTTACAGTTGATTTATCAAAAAAATGCGTTCCATCAAAAATAAGGTAATATCATAATTTGCAAGGCAAGATATCGTACAATCAGTTAGTACCACTCTTTACTTACAATTTTGAGGATTTCTGATCTCAAAATGAAGATTTCCAGACCCTTATCGGTAAGTTGATAATTTTTCGGAACGGACGCAAATAACTGCAAAATTTGCCGATCTTTTGTCAATATTTTCACAATTTCGCACCCAATTCTAAAGAAAATTTCGTTTCTGGGTAATTTTATGACCCTCTTTCCATTGGTGATATCAGATTTTCGAAATCTTACCGATTTTTTGAGAAAGCGAACTTTGGTCACGCGCGATCTTTGGTCACCCCGCCATAACTACTTGTGGAACGTGTGGTGTAGTATGGTAACGGCATAAATCAGTATCTGTTTGTATAACGACAATAAAATTTAATGAGCACAGGACTAGCTGTAACGATCCGAACTGCATTACCTATTTTCGCAGGACAAACACAAATTGTGCTTGCCGCATCCCGTCTTGTGGCTATTTGGACTTGTATACGTATTGTCGACTTTCAGAGAAGATAGCAAGCGTATTTCAAAATATCATTCTTCCAGACGATCGTGGATCTACATTCTTCTATTCAAGCATATTACAAGCAGCCTTCAGGCGAATATACAGCATATTATTTTTACTTGACAGGTAAGAGAACTGAAAAATCTTCATAGTACATTTTTCTGCAGAATATTTGTTAGAACCGTTGCCGTAAGTTGTTTTTTACCCTCAAAAATAATATTGTAATACGTAGCCTATACGATACATCCTGTATTCTTGTTCTCTTTAATAGGGGAAGGTTATTGAAGAAACATGGAGGACGCCACTGGAAAAGACTCAAAAGTTGGCGAGGAGAAAACGGTATGTATCTTCTTCTTCTCCTCCTCCTCCTCCTCCTCTTTCTCCTCCTCCTTCTCCTCCCCCTTCTTCTACTTCTTCTTCTTTTTCTTTTTCTCCTTCTCCTTTCCTCCTCTTCTTCTTCTTCTGCATCTTCTTCTTCTTCTATTCTTTTTCTTCTTCTTCGTCTTCTCTTTCTCAGTTCTACTTCTTTTTCTTCTTCTTTTTCTTCTTCTTATAATTTGTCTTTATTTTTTAAATGTTAATGCAGTCCATCACCATGGTGTATTGTCCTTCTGGTTCAAAGGGCTGGTGTAGTTTATGCCTCGTACCTGTCATATCCCTCCTTTTATGGCCTCAACGTTTGCTCAACTGTCCCCCATAAACGTAGGGCTAACATTTGGGAAACGTTCAAACCAAGGAGTTATCAGCTGTTAACTCTTTGCTCAAACATCAAAAGGGCTTAAAGGTACTATGTCCCATTTGCAGGCCAAAAAAATGAAAAAGTTAAATTCCAACTGAATTTGAAAGATAATACTAATTTAGAACTTCCATAAAAAAGGTGGGGCTTGAAAATGTCTTCAAGTGGGAAAATAACGACTATTAGTTGTCAAATCGACTTTAGGGCTATAGAGCCCAAAAGTAATAGTCTTGATTTTCAGACAATTGTACCGAATGGTCATACGTTTTATGCTGCGCAAAGATTCAATCAGTTTAATCTTGGCCATCACAAGAAGTGGGTTATTGATGTAGACAACTGCTCATGTACCCTTTACAACTCTTTTCATTTATGTTATTACCAAAGAAGAAAAAAAGCCAGTCAGTCACTCAATAGTGTCTGACAGTGAAGTCTAGCAAGTAAACGGGTTTCCTTGCATAATTTGAATATGAGGACACTGCTAACGTTTACATTTCACAGATAGGACATACATGACATATTCATAATTCTTGCAAAGTTCTACAGAATTTGAGGTTGGCTGCAAAAGGGACATAGTACCTTTAAAGCTTACACTCATAGTTTGAGAATGGTGTGCTGTTTGCCGAACCGCCCTATAGTCCTTAAAGATTCATTGGGGACCATGGATCTTATCTAAATTGTACGTGGGTAATTAAACTCTCATTCAGGATTGGGATATAGCGGCCTAATTAATGCAGGGGATAACTTGTTTACAGAGTGAAGCTCGTAACAGCCCCCCCCCCCCCCTGGCTTCTTGTTCGCCCCCATCCATGGACCTGCCCCACCCCCTCCCTTCAATGTTCACTGTTCAGCCCTATTCAAAGGGGATAATTTAAATTAGATTAACAATAGGGTATAAAGACAATTAACAGTTAGGCCTACATACTGTTTTGGGTCAAGGGTCACATAGTCCAAAACATTCGGGATGCCTGAGCTCACTCCAGTTCTCCCAGTATGTTTATATCACTTTTCAGACTTGGTATTCTAATGAACCAAGCCCTACGATACCCATGAATTAATAATGTGTATTAAAGATGCAATGTTACAATAATAGGATGAAGAAAGATGGGATGTATGCAATGGACAATAAATATAGTTGCACTGTAAATCAGGCTCTCAGTACCCATATTGTGGAGTACATCAAGTCGTGTAGTGTACAATTCAATAATCTCCGGTCCACCATTGCCAATTGAAGGTACTGCTAGCTACCAAGAACTGAGACATGAGAACGAGGGAATGAGATGAGACGTTCTGGACAATTACCCAAGGAAAATCATCCCCGTAGAATTACCCCCCGAAAACAATTATCCCCCAGGAAAATCCCCCCCCCCCCTCCCATCAAGCTATGTCACCATTGAGAGTCGTATTTCACTAGAGAACAGTATTTATGATGCAGCGCTACGTCATTGATATACAGCATTATGATTGGCCAGAAGTTATATCGCTGAGCCCTGTGCATTAGACACACACTAAGAACGCACGAATAGCACGTAGAGAACCCGATCCGCTGTACACTCCGTAGAGCTCGATAGTCATATTATTGTGTAGGTACGCATGATTATGTAATCCCTCATATATATAAACAAATACTGATAGCGATGATAAAAGCAAAAGAAATCATTATAATCACACCAGGGCGAACTTTCCTCAAAAAGAACCTAACAAATACTTCTTCTACTTTCATTAAAACTTTCCTAAACATGCTTAATGTTCTGCACATAGCTTCACTTCTCTTCATTGATGTATGCATTGACGAGAACATTCATGTAACTGTTCTAACATGACACTATCACTCTCATCAATTATGTATGCACTAGTTTAGCTATATCGGACAAACCTTTCACAAGTCTTAATGTTCCAGAGCAGATTTGGTCCGCAAGGAATGCGCATTATTCAAAGACAACGAAAATGGCAGAAACCTGTCATTAGAGATGCTATATTTGTTTTGGGGTAAGCTCCCCCTCCCCCTCCTCCCTCTTCATCCTCTCTGCACCCAACCCCCCCCCCCCCCCCCCATCCGCCCCCCCCCCCCCCCCCCAACAAAAAAACAAAACAAAAAAATGAAAAATGAAAAATGAAAAATGAAAAATTGAAAAATACATGTTCAATAACGTTATCTTCCTTTCTGTTCTATCCGCAGACTAAACCTTTATTTAGGACTGATGTGATTGCCTGGATGCTAGGTGTTATCTTCATCGTTCTCCTGCTTATAGCGGTGGTGTTTATCGGGGATGCCAGAGGATGGGACGCTGACTCAGGATTTACACACAACACAAGTGAAACCTCTGCGGAGCGTTTCCTCTCAGAACCATACGTGGAGGAGCCCGGTGTCATTGGTCGATGCGGCGTAGGAGCCCCATCACGATGGTACTACTGGAAACTGAAGCCCGTCGAGGTCACTGCTCTCACGAGGATTATACCTTGGCTTTGTTACACCTCGCATCAACTGTTTGTCTGGTCCTGCATCTATTACGCTCAGAAGAAGAAGACGGTTTACGCCGATCCCAACGTGCCACGGTATTCTTCCAAGCTGAATAACTTCAACTTGGTTGCTTTGATCGGAAACATGGTCTTCCATCTGATTCACCTTGGACAGACCCATTGGACTTACGATTCTCTGGCCCAGGACGTCTCAAGTCCAAGCAACATAGGCTCTGCCATCATTATTCTCATTTTCATCCTGATGTTGGAATACCGAAATCGCGGGATGGCTTTCGGATGGCCATCTCAGGATGACAAGGGTAAGATAAGCAATAAGATGAGACTTCCTTGGGGTCCGCAGGCGATGATCCGCAAGTACCATGGCTATGTCTTTGCTTGGGGTGCTGTCTTTACCTTCTGGCATCATCCTATGGAGAACACCATCGGCCATGTGATGGGTTTCACGCACACCTGGATGTTCTTACTGCAGGGGAGTCTGATGTTCACTCAGGTCCATCTCAACCGCTACTGGCGTCTCCTTCTAGAGGCTTGGGTAATCATCCATGGTACCGTGGTAGCTTGGCAGACAGGAAACTTCCTTCCTACCCTCTATCCCATGTTCATGTTTGGATTCCTCTGGTTATTGGTCATGACGCAGCTTTTTGGTTTACCATTCTGGCAGCAAATCCCCAAGTGGTGTCGCTTTGTTCCTTTTACGGTTTATCTCATCATCGGGATATGCATCTACGGGTTTGTCCTACCAGACGGCGACGGACGCTACTGGTCGCGCCTTAACGAACTGGTGCGGATTCCCGCCATCGAATACGTCGGGATTCTTTTCGCTTGGTTGGTCATGTGGTTCTTCTTGTGGGTCGAGAAAAAGATCAAAGGTGACAAGTACGATGAACCGTTCCAACCCCCAAGCACAGTCGTCGAGATCCTTTATATCTGTGGTGTTATCTTTACCTACGCGATCATGATGGCCGTTTCCGTGCTCGTTCAGGTTTTCGATTGGCAGGCCGGGATCATTACACTTTTAGTGTTCTTTACGCTCTTCTTTTCGATTGGAGTTGCCGTCACTTGTATGCTACTTCGCCAGATTATCAGACCAATAAATGACGGAAAGGTTGTCGATGACAAATCTGCTGTAACCATGAAAGTCGAACCGGCATTTGTTAATGAAGCTTTTAGCACCGATGCTTGCGATGACATTCTTCCTGAAAATACACTCCCTAATGATATGAAGGTATGAGCTGTTTTATCATAATGCTAATATTGCTTACCCAGAGAAGCCTCATCAACTTCAATGCTGTTCTTCCTGAAGGCCCTGCTTTTATAAATGTCTTTGATCTCTCTCTCTCTCTTTCTCTTAAATTCTGTAATAACGTCGTCTCTGATGGTTATATCGCTGTTCCGAGATTGACATAAATGAGCATGACTGTACCACATTAAAAACATGTCGCATAAAATATATGATATATGCTTTGAGTATTTGATTTCATGTGAATTTGGTGCCTTACAAATGTAATGTTATTATTATCATCATATCATATATTTCCCTCAACTCTATTATGCTTTCCTATTATACTCGGCCATATAGGCCTACAAACTCATGTAAGGATAGTACATTGAATGTATTTTTACTACAGTTATCCATACACGTACTGTCATGCATATATTATAAATGTGGAGACATTTTCAGATATAGTTTAACGTTATACTTATTACCATTAATACATTTTGTAAATTGTGACGGTTTTCATCTCTACCTTCCCTTCCTATCTGTCCCCCTTGCTGTAAAGTAATTATTTAAAGTTTGTATCGTCAGATCTGTCATGACCTAGGTCTTCTGCACGTTGCTGATTCATGTAAATAAGATACCGATTAAGACATTGCTAGGGATAGCACTATAACCCATCATTACATGTCAATATATCATCAACAATCATTGAGGCATAAAATATATTCAAGTAAAAAAAAAAAATTAATTGACAGCTGATAAACTGCATGGCCACTGTGGTGGTGTTTGTACATAGTTGATATGTTGATATATAAACGTATGGTAATTTTAACTTAGTATCAGGTAGAAAGCTGTTAAATTTTGTTCGCAAGTTCAATGCACATGTATTCAGATCTTCAAGTAAAACTATGTCACTCTGTTCTGTGAATTGAAATGTCTTGATTGAACAGATCCTAAACAACAATGCAATTGTAGGGATTTATCTTGAACTTCTTTAACTCCCCTTTATATCCATGATTTATCACTTTTATACTAATAGGTCCTCCCTCATCCACATTCACCCTTTTTATCCACCATCCTTTCATCTATCTATCTCTCTTTTCCTGATTGGTTTCAATGTTCACCAGATGTAGTCAAGCTTAAAGTATAAATTACATATACTATGAATAGTCAATATATACCTTGTGTTTATGTTTGAATATTCAAGAAACTTTGTGATGTTGATTAATTCATGTGTGTAATTATATGAATATCAATTTTATTTCTTCTAATTTGCATGTAATGAATGTGGAATGTTACATAGAATCCAGTAATGCAATGAGACATTAAAACCTGGTCAGTTAGCCAGTAGTTATCAATCTGACAACATGTCTGCTGGGCTGCCTCTGTGTACTTAAGAGTGCTAGGAATTGTGTTAGAACCGCAACCCTACATTGGTGGCAGCGGTGGGATACGAACCCACGCCATCAAAATGACTTGTATTAGAACCGCAACCCTACATTGGTGGCAGCGGTGGGATACGAACCCACACCATCAAAATGACTTGTGTTGGAACCGCAACCCTACATTGGTGGCAGCTGTGGGATACGAACCCACGCCATCAAAATGACTTGTGTTAGAACCGCAACCCTACATTGGTGGCAGCTGTGGGATACGAACCCACGCCATCTAAATGACTTGTGTTAGAACCGCAACCCTACATTGGTGGCAGCTGTGGGATATGAACCCACGCCATCTAAATGACTTGTGTTAGAACCGCAACCCCACATTGGTGGCAGAAGAGGGATACGAACCCATGCCATCTAAATGGCTTGTTAGAACAGCAACCCCACATTGGTGGCAGCGATGGGATACGAACCCACGCCATCTAAATGACTTGTGTTAGAACAGCAACCCCACATTGGTGGCAGCGGTGGGATATGAACCCATGCCATCGAAATGACTTGTGTTAGAACCGCAACCCTACATTGGTGGCAGCTGTGGGATACGAACCCACGCCATCAAAATGACTTGTGTTAGAACCGCAACCCTACATTGGTGGCAGCTGTGGGATACGAACCCACGCCATCTAAATGACTTGTGTTAGAACCCCAACCCTACATTGGTGGCAGCGGTGGGATACTAACCCACGCCATCTAAATGACTTGTGTTAGAACCGCAACCCCACATTGGTGGCAGCGGTAGGATACGAACCCATGCCATCTAAATGACTCGTGTTAGAACCGCAACCCTACATTGGTGGCAGCGGTAGGATACGAACCCATGCCATCGAAATGACTTGTGTTAGAACCGCAACCCTACATTGGTGGGAGCAGTGGGATACGAACCCACGCCATCTAAATGACTTGTGTTAGAACCGCAACCCTACATTGGTGGCAGCGGTAGGATACGAACCCATGCCATCTAAATGACTCGTGTTAGAACCGCAACCCTACATTGGTGGCAGCGGTAGGATACGAACCCATGCCATCGAAATGACTTGTGTTAGAACCGCAACCCTACATTGGTGGGAGCAGTGGGATACGAACCCACACCATCAAAATGACTTGTGTTAGAACCGCAACCCTACATTGGTGGCAGCGGTGGGATACGAACCCATGCCATCGAAATGACCTGTGTTAGAACCACAACCCTACATTGGTGGCAGGGGTGGGATACGAACCCACACCATCAAAATGACTTGTGTTAGAACCGCAACCCTACATTGTGGCCGCTGTGGGATACAAACCCATGCTATCGAAATGACTTGTGTTAGAACGGCAACCCTACTTTGGTGGGAGCTGTGGGATACGAAACCCTTGCCATCAAATGACTTGTGTTAGAACCGCAACCCTACATTGGTGGCAGCGGTGGGATACTAACCCACGCCATCTAAATGACTAGTGTTAGAACCACAACCCTACATTGGTGGCAGCGGTGGGATACGAACCCACGCCATCTAAATGACTCGTGTTAGAACCACAACCCTACATTGGTGGCAGCAGTGGGATACGAACCCATGCCATCTAAATGACTTGTGTTAGAACTACAACCCTACATTGGTGGCAGCGGTGGGATACGAACCCACGCCATCTAAATGACTCGTGTTAGAAACGCAACCCTACATTGGTGGCAGCGGTAGGATACGAACCCATGCCATCGAAATGACTTGTGTTAGAACCGCAACCCTACATTGGTGGGAGCAGTGGGATACAAACCCATGCCATCGAAATGACTTGTGTTAGAACCACAACCCTACATTGGTGGCAGGGATGGGATACGAACCCACACCATCAAAATGACTTGTGTTAGAACCGCAACCCTACATTGTGGCAGCTGTGGGATACGAACCCATGCTATCGAAATGACTTGTGTTAGAACGGCAACCCTACTTTGGTGGCAGCTGTGGGATACGAAACCCTTGCCATCAAATGACTTGTGTTAGAACCGCAACCCTCCATTGGTGGCAGCGGTGGGATTTGAACCCTCGCCATCTAAATGACTTGTGTCAGAACCGCAACCCCACATTGGTGGCAGCGGTGGGATACTAACCCACGCCATCTAAATGACTTGTGTTAGAACCACAACCCAACATTGGTGGCAGCAGTGGGATACGAACCCACGCCATCTAAATGACTTGTGTTAGAACCCCAACCACACATTGGTGGCAGTGATGGGATACGAACCCACGCCATCTAGATGACTCGTGTTAGAACCGCAACCCTACATTGGTGGCAGCAGTGGGATACGAACCCACGCCATCTAAATGACTTGTGTTAGAAACGCAACCCTATTAAGAACCAGTATTCTTGAAAGCTTATTAAATGAGTTGAGCAACTACATGAATCCTTGGTAAGTGCCAACTATAATTTATTCTTCCCATGCAAATTACCGGATTCCTGGAACTGAATGACGACACAAAATCATGAAAGCATAAAATCAACTCCTCATCTTGATCTCAAAACTATTTATCAATTTTGTTACATAATCATCTCAGATTCAAACTTGGCACCTTGTAAATGAGTGGACCAACTTAAAGGGATTGGGTATCATCGTCTCAGATTCTAAACGAAACCCTGGATTTAGCTCATGCCGAAATCATAATTATAAACCTTTAGGTCAGTCAGGAATCCCATGACTTTTACGAGCCGACTGCCTGTCTGATAAGCAAGATATTTATGATTGGAATCCAAATAATCCATTGGGAAACAATAGTCTATTGGTGAAAATGGGTATGGTAAAACGGTCAAAGATCTTTATTTTTTGAGGCACTTCATGATCTTTTTGAAGCGCCATTTTTTTAGGGCTTCAATATTACACCATATCACAGACACTGATAACACATAGGGTCATGTATCTCAGATTTGTAAAACTGAAAATATTGTCAAACAATGCCTCTAAGTCAAGTTTAATCGAGTCAAGATGCTTTCACGAATTCAAGCTTTTTTTCTTCTTTGGAATAGGATGGGAGGAAAGATATTGTATTATATCAATCTTTTTTCCTATCTGCTGATAAGATAACTAGAACGGTGGAATCACCATCTTGCAGGCAAATGTATTTTCCCCATCAGTTTGAAGTACATATGAGAGAAAGAGAGAAAGTAGAGATGCAGAGAATGCACAGTTACAAAGGCAGAAACAGAGTTATAAGAGAGAGAGACAGAGAAAAAATGGAAGAAATAGAGACAAGGATTCTGTAGCAAAATCTGAAAAACTGATTTGGATATTCATACATCCATGATGATCTAACCGATCCTAGTATTATGCTTCAAAATTGACTTATGGTAAGCATTAAAAGATGATATCATGATCAATGCTATACATCCTATTCTCATTTCAATCACAAAAATTTGTCAGACAAGATGTAACCTTATATTATGATGAATAGCACCAAATAAGAAGAAAGAAAAAAAGGACAACTAGGCTTTCAATGTGCCAAAAGCAAACAAATTTTATTGAAACCAAAACACTTCAATAAGATTGCATACATGTACTACTAACAAATATAACAAATATTTTTAGATATACTTAGACAAATTTTCTGATATAGGATCAATAATATATTACATTCTGAAATTTTGATGAATGTGAATTGAAAGGAATGTCAATTCTCAAAATAAGATATTTATAAAATATGACAGCTCTATATGTTTATATTATTTAATGAACATATTTGTAATAATATTAAAACAAAACAATACAATATTGTCTCTATTTACAATAGTCAAGGACGGAGTGGAATATGGACAGACATATACTTCATTTTTTAAATAGTATATAAAATGGGGTTGATTATGATAAGCAATAACCAAAATACTAATCACACTATGTGCAAGAACTTATATACATAGATTTAGATAGATGTTATGGTTCCTTCCACACAGCAGGCTCTTTTAAGGCATTTTTCTAAAATGTTCCAGCGTTGTGGTAAAGAATAACAGAATGATTTAACAAAATAGAAGGTAAGCCTGGTATATAATCAAGTAATGTTTTGCTATACTTTGTGGATAGCTGCAAATTAACTTAATCACTCTTTTTTTTACAAAAGTATTTGTATTTCAGAATGACCATCTGTTACCAACTATCATTAGTCAAAATCCAGTTATAATTTTCAAAGGTTTTCTGTACATATTGTTTCATTCGTCAGAAGAAATATTACTTCACATATTTCTTTCTTAAAAACAGTGAACAAACGTTAGCGAAAACAGTTACTTTCAAAGTCCAGAAGTTTGTGTGAAATAAGAAATTCATGCAACCAACGACATATGTACTTTATCTCATACTGGTTGCAAACAGCACTATAGGTTTTCTAACAAATACCATTTCACATATTTCATGAATATAACGGCAAATTTGTCAGATTTGTCACAATAATAAAATTGTCATAGTATTACCCGCACATAAAGGTTGCAATGTGATATTGTTTGAAATTCTGTCCAGTCTTCTTATTGGTATTGTGATGACTTCCCCTAAACGTACCCTGCCATTCTGAAAGGCACTTGACTTGACTAACTGAAAACTGGGGGGGGGGGGGGAAGCAATGTATATGACCCTTGAACGTTGACCCCCTTAAGATCTGGCCCTCCAAGTGCACCAGTGTAGAAAACATAGAATGAAAGGTAGAACAAAATCCAAAGGAAATAAACAGTCCAATATGAATCATGAACCTAGACCCCCTGTGAAATCAGATTGTCAACTTGTAATAGTACAGAGACATACGAATGCAAATTGTGGAAATGTGAAGAAAAACATAAAATGTCATATGTCTGACCCTTGACCCCTGACTTCTGGAGGATCTAGCGCTCGACCTGTACCAGTGCAGGGAAGGTACGCATACGGAGTCTCTCCACCTCCGCTCTGAGGACAGCGACCTCTTGGGCCTGCGCCTTGGCAAGGTCAACCAGCTTCCGTCTCTGGACAATGTCCTGCATCCGCTTGGCAGAACCTGTATCGCTTCTTGCCGCAGCTGTGAGAGGAAAGGTCAAAGAAAAAAAGGTAAAAATTATACATGTATGTACAATATTAACTATCATGTTTCTATAGTGCTAAATACATTCCAATCATTATTACATCGGTCATAGGATGCAATTCCTATTCCATATATGATACATACATACATACATACATATTGATATATACATATATAGCGCCTTTGCAAAAACATGCTCAAAGCACTTTACATTAGTAAATAATAGTGATAGTGCAAAATCTCTGCTCCCTAGAAAATATTCTGGCCAGGAACCATTTTACACATTCAACACCATAAACATTTGCATCCTACTGGGTAAACATTTAAAGCCTGTCTGCACTAGTTGGGCAAGGAGGGATTATACCGTGGTCACTGACAGGTGGTTATCTCATCAAATCAGCTCTCAATTAACATAAGAAAAAGGGAATTGTTTGCTATATAGAGGGTGCAAGCTAGTAGATACAAGCAGTGCAGACAGGCTTAACACCTGGTTGGGGAGATCCAATGGAGATAAAATAGTTAACTAGTGATGATAGTAATTATAATGACAAATGAATATAATGATGATGATCAATCTTAGTTATGCTACATATTCTCACCGTTGACATTATTGATGTGTTTTCTCTCGGAGACCATGACAGTCATTTCTTCTAGTTCTCTGTCCAGTGTGGAGTTGTCATGTTGTTTTTGACGGATGACATGCTTCAGTTTAGTGATGGTCTGTTTCCTCTCACCTACAGTCTTGTCATGATGCTAGAAACAAAACAAAAAAGATGATGAGATCCAGAGTTGGTTTCATCCGGTGACCCTGAACAGAGACTCAGACATGGTGGAGTCCCATAATTATGTGCTGTTTAATAATATAAAGCCTCAAAAGCCTGAAATGGGGAGGTGCCACGACCTCAATAAACTGGCACAACTAGAAATGGTTTTCTGTAACGTTTGAATTGTTTAAACAAGATGCATGCTGGGTCAATGGGGACATAACACACCTGCTA